TGAGTAAATGAATGTGTTCTAGCTATATAAAAATTTACACCAAGCTAAAGTATATAAAAGTGCTATAAAATATAGCAAGATGATGATTAAAGTGGTTTTTAACAATATGTTATATAGAGGTATAAAAAAAGTGGACCAGAACTCCCTTTTTTACCCTACTACATAATAACTAATTATAGATTCGCTTTTTTTTTTTTTTTACTTAGATTCAAGAAATGTACTTGGAGAAATACATATATATATACCTGCAGAAGTCAAGCGGCAAAAATCTAAAAAAAAAGAAACTTATTTTACAAATACAGTAAAAGCTCTATAAGTGCACGTACTTGAGACCAAGCTTTAACAATATGCACTTAGAGATTACTATGAGAAAGTGCATTTATAGAGGAGACATGTATATCTTTGGGCCAGAACTTGAGTATGCATTTAGAGAGGGTATGCACTTATAGAGGGTGCACTTATGGAGATTTTACTGTATATATGTATTCATTTTTTCTTATTTAAGGATTCAAAGGTCGGCCAAAGAGCATAATTGAGTTCAATTATACATATTAGTTTTATCTTTGTTTAGTATATAAATTCAAGTTCACAATAGCTTAAGCATACTTATATTTAGTTTTATACCTTATTTAGCTTAAGTATTTGAGTATAATTAGTTGTGTTTATGCATATTAATATTGGGTTTATACCTTATTTAGATGTATTTGGGTCGGCAAAGACATAGCGATGCATATTAGTTTTATACTTTATTTATTATATATATTTGAGTCGGCCAAAGAATATAATCACGTAATAAATAGATTGTAGAAAAGAGGAAATTATAAATTATAGTAAAAAATATAGAATTAAATAGTGAAAAATATATTTAAATCACGCCTCTCGATCTTGAATAAACATGCTTTATTTAAAAAACATAAATTAATTGTTACATCATATTTAATTTATAAATTAAATTGCTCTTGTTGCTCTTATTAACCTCAATAATAATTACTTATAATCCTGATTAAAAATACAAACCAAAATGAGTGAAGGTACTTCTTCTAACATTTCAAATCAGATCTCAGATAATAAAAAAAAGTGTAATTATTGTAATGTTCATAAAGAAAAACAAAATTTCTGCTGTCCTTACAGTAATAATCCACTATATGAATATGCAACCTGTAATGATTGCTCTGAAAGACGTAGTCAAAAGAGAAAAGAGACAAGTCAAGCTCCAAAAATAAAAAAAATAAAAACAAAAACCAATCTTAACTTAGCAGCTCTGAATATTGGTATTTCAAGTTCTCAAATTACTAATATTTCGAATATCCTTCAAGTTGACAATAGCATTGATGATGATGATCTTGAGTTAACATCAGAAGCAAACCTTTTTTTCAATAATGAATTAGTAAACACAACACAAATAGAAGAGTATACCACTGATATACAAATTAATAAATATGACAATAATGCTGACACACTCTTATATAGTATAAATGAAGTAGAAAGTTTTATTAATACGCAATTTCAAGATGCTGAGTTATCCGAAGAACCCACAAAGTTTGAATTTGATATTGAGTTGGATTCAGAACTTTTAGATGCTGTTATGCTTGGTCAAAATCTTGAAACTTATCTATTAGACTTTGAGAATATCAAAAATAACTTTGCGCTACTTACTAAAATTCTTATTTTGCCATTGGAATCTGGATCTGGATATTATTGGGAAATGTGAAAGTTGTGTTTAAATTTTAAAAAAACAAAAATTTGTAGGTTGTGCTACAGCCTACCTTCAATATGCTTCACGTGATGATAAAGGATGGCAAAGACCAGACAACCAAGAAATTAAAAGGCGAAGTGAAATTCATGCTGCAATACAACGATTTCCCTGCAGAGACAAAATTACAATAAATATAAATAACAATCACAATATGCAAATATACAATATGAACATTTGTGCTTACATAAACATCCATCATATTAACAAACAGAATTTCCAGAAGAGGCAAAACAATAGATTCAGGAAAATCTCAATTATAATCTTCGAAGCTCAGAATTATATAGATATCTTATTGAAAATAAATTAATTAGTTTAATTTATACAAAAGAACAAGTATATTATTGGGTATCAGTTTATAATAAGCAAAAATATATTACAAACCAAGATAACTAGCTTTTGTCTTCTAAGACGTATCTTGAACAATCTGTACTTGTAAGTAGAGGGTTTAAAGTTCTATCTTATTTTGATAATAATTTTGTACAAGCTTTAGGATTTGTTACTCCGTTATTATATCGAATTGGTGTAGAAAAAATAAATAAGATTATAATAGATTCTATATTTAAAACAAATCAGGAGCAATTTAAGCTTTTTGTTGTAAATGCTAATTGTGGTGGGTATGGTATGCCACTAGCATATCTATACTTACTAGTATCAAATAATCTTGAAGTGCATAATTATCCAGAAGACAGAGTTATTAGTCATGCACAAGTTCTTGAGGAATTTTTTATTAATCTTCAAAATGAGGGGTTACTACCTTCGTTTGTATTATTAGACAAAGATGCTGGTTAAATTTTAGCTGTTGGTGTAGCCTGGTGGAAAGCAAATATCCAATTATGCTATTGGCATTTAGAACATGCTATTAGCAGATAGTTGAAAGACAAAAAACTATGATCAAATACTTATTCCAGAGAAAAAGCATTGCAAGCTCACCAACAATTTAGTTTTATAGACCTATCGTAAATTTCAGCTAGTAGTATTAAAAGTTTGTGCACAGAAGAAGTAGCTAAAGAAATAATTACTATAATTAAACGGCATGCAAATATGTATCCATTAATTCCAGTAGAAAAAAATGTTTTCTGGAATTCAGCTCAGATCTACTATTATTGTGTAAAAAAGACTTATCTTTTCTGTTACAATCATGAGCATCCTGAATTATAGAGATACCTTTGGCTAAATTGGTATAATAAAAAGATTGAGCTTTGTTCGCTCGTTCTTCCTATTCTCTTGCAATATCTTTAGCCCGAACTACTATAATTACAGAGAGTCATTGGCGAGTACTTAAACACAAATACAAATATAACTATAATAGACCTTGGCTTGACTATCTTACCAATATTCTTGTTGAAAGACTGGTGCCAGATTTCGATCTTATGTTAACCCAATATGACTTAATTCAGCATTTTTTATCTTGGTGGCAGGCCTTTAAAAGAGATTGGAACATGGCTATGTCAACTGATATTATGCCTAATATGGATGAAAGATATTATATTGATATAAATAATTGGATATGTTCTTGTCCAGCATATACAAATAGTTGTTATCTTATTTGCAAGCATTTGGTTGCAATGAAGAGAAAAAATTTCTGGCTACCTATAATGAAATAACAAGACAACATGACTATCCATTTATCGTCTTTGGCAAAGATAAGCTTCTAGCAATCTTTCAAAAAAATAATCCATGGAGAATGACTAGTGTAGCTATTTCAAAAGTGGATAATCTTATTTTAGAAAGTAGTTCAAGAAACTTGAGAAACATGTCAATGATTGTATTGGAAAACAAAATAGAAGAAAGAGAAAAAAAATATATCTACTCTGTAAAGAAGTTTGAAAAAGCATTAGAATTGTATAGAAGGAAATTGATAATAATAATTTTGTAAAAAATTTTAACGCATTAATAAAACCATTTACAAAAGCAGTTGACGAATATAAAGAAGCCTTGCAAGCTCATAATCAGCAAGGTACTCAAAGATCAAGCAATAAGAAGCTTGCGTATTGGTTGCATTAACCTTCTAAACTAAAAAATAAATACAGTACGTTTTATATTAAAAACATGTAATCTGACAAATAAAATAAAAAATTATTATATTAAAATCATTACCATCGAATAAATAAGAAAATTAATGAGATATCAAACTAACTTGAATAATAAATAATCTATAGACCGAATAAAAAAAATTAATAAGAATTGAATAGATTAGCATTATAATTATCAACTAAATTACCAAATAAATAAATAAATTTAATAATAAGAAAAAAAATTAAAGAAAAGCGAAAAGAAAAAAAGAAAAATTCTTAAAAAAAAATTGAAGAAAAAAAAAGTAAAAGCAAAAAAAATAAAAGCAAAAAAATAAAAAATAAAAAGGTAAAAGCAAAAAAAGAAAAAATAGAAATAAAAAGTAAATCAAAAAGAAAAAAATAGAAAAAAGGTAAAAGTGAAAGAGAAAAAATAGAAAAAAAAAAGGTAAAAGCGAAAGAGAAAAAATAGAAAAAAAAAAGTAAAAGCATTTTAGAAAATTTTAATAACCGTGATTAACTTTAATTGGCTGAATAATGCAGATCATCACATGGTTGAAGTAGAATCTAATTTTAGTGACAATTTTTTTTGCCATGGCTAGAATACTAGGCATTAACAGGAGGAACTGTTCAATGTTACACAAATTACACTGTGATCGATATTGCATATATCATGTTGACCGATTTTCCACGTGAGGTTTTAATAACAAGTTAAATTAATTAAAATCGAATCATAATTATGTAATAAGCACAATAAATTTTAATAAAACAAAATCACTATTTTTAATATTATTTCTTTCGAATCATGTTCTTGTTATTTTTAAAGAACACATTTTTTTTCATTTTTTTCATAATCTTTAGCTTCTAATATTATGTTTTAAATTCAAAAAATATCTGTATATTTTATTTTCATAATGTAAATAATTACAATTTTCAAATTTTCTACAGACCAGAACATTATATAATAAAATATTAGCTTTAAAAGTATAATAATAAATCTCAAATAAATATATACTATATAATAGTACCTTTTTATAATGAATAAACTAAAAATTTTAAAAATTATATTATTTCTTTTTTTTTTTTTTAAGCGATCCTGCTTTTATTAATATGAACTGCTATATGAAAACACTGTAACAAAATACATATGTTTTTCATATAGTAAATAGTTCTAAACTAATAAAAACTCACTAGATATACCTAAGTACTATTCAATGCGACCTGCTATAACAACTATTTGTCTCACTTGGGATCTAAAACTTGCTTCAGATTTTGTATCGTCAAAGGATACCCCCCTCGATCATTTGACAGGTTGTTGTATACTGCATTAGGATCTCTTTTTTCCCTTCTAATTCTTCCTTCTTCTCAAAAGGCACGAGACAAAAGAAGAAAATTTTTCAACAAAGAGTGATGAAAATGACCAGAAAAAAAACAAAAAAGAAAAAAGAAACACTAATTGCGAAAAGAAAAAATATAAAAAGAAATCTAAAACCCTGAAGGCACTATTATAACCCGTGCATGGCTAATAAAAATTATATAACAAATACAACATTTGTATATCTTTACTGTAAAGCTTCGCTTTAATATTAAATTTACTTTTCGACCTTCATACCAACTCAAGATAGTTTCGTTACCTGTCCTAATTCATATCTCAAGCCAGGTGCTGCTGTCATCCAAGGACCTGTGTTTCAAGCCACCTGCTGCTATAATTAGAGTTCTCAAGCCGAGTTCTATGAAAAAGTGTCATATTTATCTGTAAACAAACATGTGGTTGCATTTCGCTAATCTGTCCGAATTTGGGAAGTAAACAATGCCGATCTTTTGGAGGGGGTAAGCCAAATCCCCACTTTTTGTTGAAATTTTTTGAAAAACCAACAGAAGGATGAGAAAGAGAAAAAAAGGTAAAAAGAGTGTGGCTTGAAGAAAATAATCAAATATTTTGTTGTTTCCCAGTGTCTTCATAGAAGTACAGCCTAAAAGCTTCGTCGATAAAGAAAAAGGAATGTCCAAAGAGTCCTCTTCTCTACCAAGATTTTTTATACAAGAGCACCTTCTACTAGTTATCTTGAATAATAACACTCTTGGCTTGCATACTGAATATAACCTATAGAGGAGTTCTGCTAAACAGTACATTAACCTCTAGACAAACCACTACGTTAGGCTATAACTCACCAACAAAATTTGTGTTTTTCTTCCATGAGAATTTTGGACCGAGTGATTGTCAGAAAGAGTTCAATTAATTTTTGAAAATTTTGTATATTATTAAAAAAAAAAAAAAAAAAAGATATATATTTAAAAAGAATTATAAAATTCTCAAATCAGTTTGAATTTGAGATCTAGGCAATAAGTAAAAAAGAATAGTATAGAAGTATAAATAAGAACCGAAAAATAAATATATATTATATATCAGAACTAAAACTAGAACTTTAGATTTAAAACCATTTATCCATAGCTAAAACCCACCAGAGTCTTCAATACTTCTACATATGTGATTGACTTGGATTTATATATCTCTCTCCAATTGCCAATTAGTATTTACATATTCGCTACTTTATCTATATACCTAATATTTTAACTTCCAAATTGGTATATACCAGATAGGTACTTATTGCTTTTAGTTTGGTGTGCTTAGTCCCAACTAGCATACTTCTAGAAGTTTGTATCTCAAGCCATGCAGTTACCTCTACCTAATTAGATAAATATCTCAAACCTACATGCTACTATAATTAGCTAGTTTCTTGCAACTTTGAAACCCAGGTCTTAACATTTCAAATTCAATAATATGCAAATGACTATACTTCCCAATATGGTAACAAGACTTCCCAGACATGTTTCACAAATACTTTTAATACTCAATATAGTTGGATGGAATCATGAGACCTAGAAATTTTTAACAAGTGCATTATTGTTTTTTATTTATAATGATTTTTAGCAATTGTAGTCTTAGTTACTACTATATTCACTTATATTAGCTATATCTGTATTGGTAGTTTTGAATCTTCTTAATGTTGAAAACTCCTATATAGGTATAACCAGAGCCTGTTAGGTTTATCAATATATATATACCTTCATGTTTTAACTTTTTATTAGTCAGTAAGTTCCATATACATCAAAGATGCTTCAAATTCAGTAAGGCCAATTTTTTACTACAGATTCTTTTGTGTTTATTATATTTTTCACCACTTTTAATTTTGATTACCATCCAATTATTCTCCCAAACAAGATCTTCAATACCACTTTGGAGATTGTTAATGCTACTTTATCAATCACAAATTTATATACATAACTTTTGTGTAATAGAACCTTCCATAATAACTATCATTACATATAGTGCCAACTACTCCACAATAGACCTTCTTCTGGAAATTTCTAATCCAGACTTGTATTTACTTGAACTTCCTATAATGAGTATATTCAAATATTTGTAGATAAATGTATCTACTAAGACTTGAACTCAAAATCTGCTTGCAGAGGGTGGAGTGCTTAGATTACTAAACCATAGAATTCCAACTCCATAAAACATATTTTATAATAATACTTTTGCTAATAAAGAAGACTTTTTTTTTTTTTTTTTCTTTGGTAACCTCGCACTAATTTATTAGAGTTTTTGCAATTTACAAAATTAACTATCTAATTTACGTATTAGGCATTATCTGGCTGCTATAAAAGTGCCCAAGTATGGTTACTGCACTGATGTTTGCCAACAAGCTCTACATACGGTGCTACCCGGATTTAAAAACCTGCTATAGCTTGGTACTTAGCTATCTAAGTTCAAACTAATTATATTTTACCTTCCTTCTAGACTTATTCTACTAATATTTGAGCAGAATATATTTTCTCCTACTTCTGCATAGTACAAACATATATGCCAATTTACAAAAGAAAGACTTCTTTTAAGAGCCGATCTCTTCTTTTAAGTTATCTCACCTTAAATTTTGGCAATATCTTCCCAAACTCAATCCACTTAAATCCCAGCAGATTATACATATTACCTCCTACTTTTACATAAGACTAACATATATGCCAATATTATGAAGGAAGGTACATTTAAAGAAACTTTCTAAAAGCTTCCTCATAATTGAAAAAAATATAAATTGTTCTAAAAAAGAAAACAGAAACAAAAGAAAAAATGAAACAAATAGAAAAAAAGGAAAGAGGAACCTAAACCGATTCTAATATAAATAAAAATAGATAAAACAAGCAGAAAAAAAACAAAATTAAACGATCCAAATACACTATTATAACCCGTGCCAGGTGATTTAAAAATTATATACTAGATACAATATCTGTATATCTTTGTTGTAAGTCTAAGTTTAACCTTAAAATTCCCTCTGACCCAATTCCAAATCTTTTTAATAACCTAGACCGTATTTTAAACCAAGTGCTGCTGCAGTACTAGGATCTGACTCTTCATATACGGTGCCAATGACGACAAGGACATGACATTTTTGTAAAGGTGCTATCACTTGGGTACTTGTATCTCAAGCCACTTGGTGCCGCTACCAGGAATTCCTTTTTTGACCGGAACTCATTCCAGGGCCTATATAATGTATTCGTCTCCAAACACATGGTTGCTATCTACCGGTCTATCTGGATTTGGTAAGTAAACAATGCCAATCTTTTGGAGGTGGTAAGCCAAATCCTCCACTTTTTATGAAAAATTTTTGAAGACCGATGGAAAAACGACGAGAGGTAAAGAGGGACTACTTGAGCTTCAAACCAATTTAAAGGAGTGTGAGTTTTCTTTTCTACAGTCAAGACC